CACTTATTCAAACAATGTACTGAGACTTATACCAGGATAGCTTCAATGCGAAAAATTCAAAATCTATTATAAATATAAAATGCGAAATCAATGCTACATTGTGAATTATTGTAAATATTGAAATGCCGAGAATTAAAAACAAGCCCCCATGTATTTTAAAGACTATAAAAGACTCTTTGATTTAACATTCTCCTCAAAATTAACCTTCTTCCTTTTCGTTCTCTCATCCAAGCTCTTCCTTCCGTAACCATTAAACTTGGTGAAGTCAATTTCCCTTTCTGTTGATTTTCCTTTGGACGAATTTTCTCTTCTGGAATTATCCCGCCATTTTAATTTGGCCTTCTCCGTTCTTATCAATACTTTGTTTCTTTTCTCATCGTTATCACTAACCCAAGTCAGCAGGTACTTTATAATTTCACTGTGCCCATTGTATCCTTTGTTGTGCCGCAGAAATCCGGCGGCGTTACCAAAGAATCCAGCAAAGATATTTCCCCCCTTCCTATTTCCAAAACTTTCGTCTCTTGAAATTCCGCATTCTTTCAGTGCAACCAACAAACTCTTCATTTCGCTGAATTCATAGATCCGCTCCAACAAAATTTTCACCATCTCATGCCGATTTAGTTGTACAGCATAAACCATCGCGTTCAAAGGTTTCGAAGGAGTGAATGTTTGTACGACCAGAGTTTTTCCCTGTGACGCTGTCAGATCAGTTAGGGATGGGTCGATTCGGTAATTCGATGTGGGGGAGGAGGGTGAAGTGTGCGATGTTGATTGCGACGAAGTTCGTGTGTGCGGCTTCAGCAATGATAGGGGCACGTTATGTGTAGTTAATAACAATTTTGACTGTGTGTGTGCCTTTACTTGCGATGAAGGAAATTTTAAGGATGCGCCTGCGGTCGGGGTTTGTGACGTCGTACCAAGTGTCGCTGACTTTGCTGAGCGTTCGACATTCCTCGGCTTCGACCTCATATCATAATAAAGATCGTCGTCAACACCAAAGTCTCCAACTCCGGCGGCACTCGATTCATCCTGTGACGAAACTTCAATATGATCGTCGTATAACAATTCTTCGCGTTCTTCATCATCTCCTTTATTCGCCGTCATTTCCACGTAATTGTTAAATATCTCATTCCCGAAGATGCCACTCTCCTCTTCCCCACCCTCTAAACCTCTCACGTCCACTCCCCATTCTAGTAGCAACTCTAATATCTTTTTTTGTTCTTCGATCTTCAAATTTGTACTGACATCAACCAGCAACCACAAAAGATTCTTTAATCTTCGACCCGGTATCACAGCTTCTTGATTAACATTCCCGCCATTCTCTATCAGCGTGCACAACATCTTGTAGACCTTTCTAAATGGACCACCACCGTCATCAAACCTCGTGGACAGCAACGTGTATCCAAGCGGAGTCCCACCGCGTTTATTTGGTAAATTCGGGTCTGCTCCATTCTTTAGCAGGTAATCTATTATCTCTGGTGTTAGGTTCGGGTGCCATTTGAATATCAGCGATGTGAGCAAGGTTTCGCCCGCTATCGTCTGAGAATTTACGTCCAGACCTCTGGAAAGCAAGAACGTCAGACATTGCCTGAAATAATAACCGGTGTTGGAGCTTGACAGGGTAAAGAAGGAATGAGAATTCGAAGGATCCGTGAGGAGGGAAGTGTTTGACGCGAGAAAATTTATACATGTGCCGGAAGTGTA